CAGCTCAGTGGTCCAGAGATTAAGCGTTCACGCATGAGACTCAATGTATTTCGTTCCCAGTTGGAGGGGTCATAGGTGCACACTCCTAGGGAGTCCCGTACTTCTAATTTTTCGATTGTGGTCTAACTAAGATCCGTTCACTATTCAAGAGTTCAACAAATCCACTTGAACTTGTGTATCAATTTTGTTACTTTCAAAATGGTTACGAGTTTTTCTGTGAGTTAGTCAAAGAAAATCAATTCTTAGCCTATCTATAACAGTCAATATACTGATTATTTATTGGCCGACTGACAACTGTCCTGGAAATATTTCTGCCGAACAAATAATCTGTCGTTTTAATTCAATTAGATTAGGCATGAATCTCTCCTGTGTAAATAGTTATATTACTTCGTCACACAGTTAATTGAATAAAAACTTTCAGAAAAAAATGTATTAGTATGGATAACAATGTAGATTATTCATCACACTTATCTTTCGAACAGCTTCATTAAATTTCACATTTGGTGCAAAAAATTTCAGTAAAATGACAATACCACACGTAGCAATGTAATTTATGCATTTATCTATTTATTTCATAGATTCTCTTTATAGATCTTTATAATTTAGAAACAATATTATCAGCTGCTTAAAAACAAAACGATGGACAATTTTTATGTGTGAGAGAGGTCTTGATTTTAGTCGAGTTCAACATCTAAATGTAGATTGATAAGTGACAATTATTGTGAAAGAATTAAGAAAATATTCAAACAACTATCCGTATGGAATTGTGGAGATTGTTGAGTTTTGATTGATATCATGAATCAATCAATGTTAGACCACCATCGAATACCCGAAGCACTGGGTGCCGTTTCGTCCTATTACGAGACTCCTCAGAGGTGCGCATCCATGATACAACATTCGCGATTCTAACCCAAAACCTTCAGTTTCGTGCTCGGCTGCTTAAACTCTAGACCACTGATCTGGCACCTAACAGTGCTAATATCTAACCTCAATCCACGATACTGCACTACCATCTTTTATTGTCTTCGGTGGGTAACTGTCTTACATCCGACACGGATTACCTTCTTTTATGTCCACTGACATTTTTATGAGTTATGACAGGTGTCTGATTCTTGAATAGTTTTGCAGATAGATAGTAAACTGACTATCTCTTTTGTCAATATATTGTCATGTTTGACCCATAAAATTTGTTTCAGTATTTTTAGGAGCCTTGAAGATGACTTTAGCTAACGCATTCATAGTGAAGTAATTATCTTATTTAATAAGATTCTAAATTAAATATCGATGATTGAGAAACGAATCTCATTCGTATTAACGTGTATTCCGTCATATCTTAAAGGTGTTCTTGTACGTTTAGTAGAACTAATTTCAGTCTTATGAAGTGAAAGACAGTGGTACATTAAAGACAGAGAAAGATCGCTGCACAATTTGGATGTCGGACCAGTGGTCTAAAGTTGAAGTGCTCACTGTGAGATCGGAAAGTCTCTTGTTTAATCCCAGTAGAATTGCGGCTGTCCAGTTCTTCCTGGATTTGATTCATTATCTAGGTTCAGTCTATGATCCAAACTATGAAACAACTTCATTTAATCTCTTAACGTGTATTGTCTGTACGATAAAAAACACAGTAAATCAAATCTCCAATCTTACTGAAACTGATATTTTCCGTGGGTCTCAAAATCCCGTTACCCACTTTTCAGTTAACATTTGAAGCCCTGTAAATTGTTTTAAATTAACTAGAAATCTTTCATTCTTGACTGATAGGTCCTGGGTTCGAATCTCGTGGGGGGATCGTGGATGAGCACTGCTGAGGAATCCCATACTAGGACAAAACGGCCGTCCAGTGCTTCCAAGTTTTCCATGGTGTTCTAGCTTCAGTCGACTCATGATTTCAACTATTGAAATTTCTAAAATCTCCACAAAACCCTTTACTGAAAATATGTTATGGTTATTAATATTTTTTAAATTCCCATAGGTGTATCAGTTTTGAACATAATTCACATTTAAATCTGTTTGTTTTGTCTGTCTCATGTTACAATCCAGTCCTTCTATCAAAAATAATTCTACACATTTATTTTCTTGCTAACAGATATCCAGAATGTTGAGTTTTTTGCCGGTAAAGCGGAGAATATCTTACGAAATACTATAGACAGTTTACCAGAATGCTATGATTTGTCAGTTGTAGTTGATCCTCCAAGAGCTGGTCTACGTAAGTTGTTGGTTTCTTATTTAGTTTAGTAGTTAATTCCAAGTTATTAATAATTTTTTGCTTTGACAATGATGGCATGTAATGAACAAACCTATTTAAACAGTCACGTGTTCTGACTGCTCGAAAAATTGATCACACCTTGCACCCGGTTATAGTGTCAGAAGATATAATACCCGCCGGATAAAACACGTTGAAATTGTTTGAGCTATCAAATTCAGTGTTCTATGTTGATTTCTTTGATAAAATGGTGATTTCAACTGTGCTTGTGTCTCAAGAAATTAACATTAGTAGCACTATATCTCCACCGAATATTAACATATCTTTTGCGCACAACGCCTACCGAACAGAAAATCGCCAACGGCTAGTCGATCTCATTGTTTTCTTTAGCACTATTTGTCTTATACACTGTCATCACAATTATAATGAAAGATCAGCTTACTGCGGTTGATAACTGACGAGTTTGCTGCTTGAATCCTTGTTACGGAATTCCTAGCCACTTATAACTCCGTACTACCGCACTTGAACCCACACAATAGATGAAAGGCACAAAATATAAATAAAAGCTTAAGATCCGTCTCTGTAGCAAAATCAAGCTTATTTTTCGTGTCTACTGATAGCTGTTAAACTCTGAAAACTTCTAAAACCATGACATAGTAGGTACACAGAGTTTGACACAATCCGTCCATTTTCAAGAGCCCATACGTGGCGGGCGTGTGATGATTCGCTTCCTAAAGATCTTATCAAGGGATTCTTATTAAACCTCAAAAGTAACTCTATCTTAATCGTTACTCTTATCATTTTCTTATTCATTTTAGATCATTCTGTTATTCAACTGTTGAGAAATTGTAAACAAATTCAAAGAATTATCTATATTTCCTGTAATATTGAATATGCTGTAGAAAATTTTTTAAAGTAAGTTTTATGTTTGTGTGCATTAGGAATACTTTATATTTGAAAAAAGCATCTACTCTATCCATTGTTATATGTTTGTTTGAAAGAGCGATTTTAACACTCGAGAAGTTTCAACTAGCTAGAAACAAATGGAATCATCTAACTACCGGATAGAGATAAACCACATCAGTACTTGTATTTATTACTGGTTTAAGATCGGTACACATAATACTGAAGCGCTGGATACTGACTTTTCAACTGTTTAGTCCCCCAGAAATTGACTATTTATTAGGCATCAAACAAAAGACAAAAAGCGTAAAATATAAATGGATCTGTACTTCTGGATTGTAGGTACAGAAAGCAATGATATTTATAGGCTTTTACATTAAAATAATTTTACTTATTGTGTAATCATACTTTTTTAAAATTATATGTCATGCTTCTTTTCATGATTTCAGTTTTGCTAGACCTTGTTCCAATAAATTCACAGGAATACCATTTGTTCCAACTATAGCTGAGGCTGTCGATCTGTTCCCACAAACTTTGCATACTGAAGTTATTTTACTGCTTGAACGTATTCCATCAATTCCATAAACAATTTTGTATATAGTTTATTTCAAATAAATTATTTTGTTACAAACTATTCTGCTTTTTCTTTACAATAAACATTTACGGTCAGTTGACGGTTCAAGAGACCGTACGTAGCGGGCGTGTAATGATTCGGCTCCTAAATAAATTCGTGCTGTTACTATGTGACAATCTTACTTAGACGAAACACTTAGATTGAGAGATCGAATCTTGTTAAAAGTACAGGTTAAACGAAGAAATATTTATTTACAATTAATTTCTCGTCATGAATCCTCACTACTATACAAGTTTTTACAATTGAAAATGAAATCAGTCCCAAGTGAACCGTGAGGAATCAATTTAACAATATACTCTATTGAAATAGTGATCAGTTAGCAATCTGTTTCTCAAAATTTCTCGGGTTCAATTACTAATTTTATCCATAGGTAATTTATTTTAATAACTTGATTACTTAATTCCCTTTGCACACATTTAACTTAGTATGTATCATTAAATTTACAAATAACGTTGAACATTGTTTAATTTCGCACTCAATTTCTATTCTTACGTAATGATTTGTTATGATTAACTGATTATATTATTTTGAATCTCTGAAATTACCATATGATTACTATCTTAGGAGAAAATATTGAGATACATTGATAAACTGATGCATCACCATTCATTTAGTATTGATTTTACTGTCAACATAAGGTTGTAGAGATTGTTGAATTTCATTGTAGTCACTAATTGACCGAAGTTAAACAACCATTGAGAACGTGGAAGAACCGAACGATCTTTACGTTCCAGTATGAGACTCCTCAGCCGTGAACATTCACAACCCGACAATCGAGGATCGAACCAGAACGTTCAGTCTCGTGCGCGAACGCTGAGCTGGGATACAGTAATGCGCAGTTCTAAATTCAGTCAGTCTACGTAGAGTGCAACCATCTTCGATTGCTTTCGAAGAGTATCTTCCTCACACCTGACACGGTTTTTCGTCCTGGATACGTACTGCTGAAAACTCCCATTATAAGATGAAACGACCATTCAATGCTTCCGGGTTTTGAGCGGTTGATTATCTTTGATCGGCTTGTGATTTCAATGAATTGACTTTATTCTCAGTTGTAAAATCCATATATTAGTGTAGAGCTAATTGAAAGAAAATGTCACTTCACTCAACAACTTCAACTCGAATCTTGTTAGTCACTTATTTCATACTGATGAAATCAATCTACGCAATTAAAAGAAAAAGACTTATTTCGATTAACCAGATAAACACCTCTATTGCCCCCCCCTCCTACAAGTGTAACTAAATAATAACTGGAAATAATTTTGTTGTAACAGTAGTATTTTGTTTACAAAATCAAATGTTAAGATAAGGATTATGAGAGGTTTTACCATTAAGCAAAAAAATGGCACAATCAGTCAATGTGTGTACAATAGAAGAAAGAAGTTCAATAGAAAAAATCAATTGATCACAAGTCGGTATTTACAAGTTTGATGAAGTAAATCATAAAGGATAAAAAATAGATAGGTTTGTTCTTTCAAAAAAAAAACAAAGATTAGACGTAGATAAAACTAACATCGTTTCAGAGAAATTCCGGTTATTTATGTGTTAAAATATAAATCATCACTGAATTTGTGCTCGTAGATTAGTAATCCGATCATATAATTCTTTGTTGGTTTTTCCGACTTCGCGCTGAATATACAATAAATCATATTCTGATTTCTCACGAACAGCTACTTGAATGGCTTCTTCGATTCTCCTTTTTAAATAATCGAAGTAAAATGCAATATTCTTAAATGATTTTATTAAGATAAAGTATCTTAATAGATATATACCCCCCCCCCCAAAAAAAACGATACATCAATTCCATTCACTGAAAGCAAATTAATCAGCTAAAGCTGTGAATATTCAGTCCTACTTTTGATTGTTTTGTGCAAGGAAATATTTGGAGTATTATTTCAATATTTTAAGATGTAACCTGTGTATGTTTGTTTTTTCTTACTGTGTGCATGAACTCATGTGAAGTCTATAGACTATAACATGTGAACAGTTGTACGTAAAATAAAAAGTTATGAGATGAATAAACAAAACGGAACGTTCTTGTTTTAAAAAAAAAACAACTTAATTCCATAGATCTTAAATTGTTGAAATGAATTTTTACGAGACTTAATCATGATTACTATATATTTTGTAGGTTGTATTTATTACAGAATAATGTTGTTTGTGATACCATTGAAAATCAAGCAGCACTGGACTTTTTCCTTCTAGTAGATAACTTTATGAAATTTTATAAATTAGAGAACAAAGTCAGTATTTCACTTTTATTATTGTAATTACTTTTTGTTCTCTCTTATTTATACACTACTAAGAACAATGTAAATAGACAACAAAGATCTTTCAGTCCCGTAGAATTATCGATTATTTTTAATATTGTCATAGCTATAACTGGTTAGAATCAATGATTCTATAGTACTGTGATTAACAAAAAAAACAAATTGCTTACCCAGTCATTACCCAGAAACGGACTGTTCGTTCAGGTGGAAGTTTAGAAATTAGTTTTATCGCTTCGTCTATACGATTGCCGTCGATATAAATTTTGATTAATATCTTTTTGTATAATAAAAATAATAAGAATTTATTGCGACTAAAGAAGTATGGCTTAAAATTTAAAATAAAACTTTCTATTAACTTATCGATTAAGCTTTGAGTACCAATTATTTTTTGCAATGCGGTAGCCAGTAGTTATAGAATATCTGCGTGGAACCGAATATAGTTAGATTAAGGGGAGATAGGAACCCATAAGTCACTGAATGATGATCACGTCAAGTCATTGCTCTAATTGTTGCTTTTTACCGTTTCAAACAAACTAAGAATGAAGTAGAAGATACGAATACTTAATTGAAAATTAATGTGACATAAATAATAAAAGCTGCTTTTTCTTTCTGTTAAATATAGAATCCGATTTAGGATTGAACAGACCATTTCAATTAGGAGTGCGAAACCCTACTTTTGTGTATTCCAATTGGTCAAGTGACTTATTTCATTCATTATAGTCTAGGAAATTAAAATTGATAGTGTTTAGTTTGCATTGATCTAGTTTATTCTGTGGAAACTTTTATTAACCATTTTTGCTTAACTAACATTTAATGTGCTCTCTATAACTACCATATTTTTGTTAAAAATTCAAATTTCTCATTATGCCATATCTTGATCCTATATTAAAAAAGCAAGCCTGTTGTCTGGCAATTTTATTATATTTGAGTGAGGAATACAATCTACAAATACAATTAATCCCCATAAAATCACTCAACTAAACGGTAATAGTCAGCTTGCTGGTGATTTCAATATATTAATCAAATTCCACTGTGAAGTTTTGAATGGTACAGTTCAAACATGTCGAAAGTAACATAGTTGTCGCTAATGGTATTGGATGATCGTCGCGCTATATCGCGAACTGATTGAAAATGAGATTGTACCCAGTGGTACTAATGCTTAAGCGTTTGCCGCGAGACCTGCAGGTCCTGGTTTCGACCTCGAGCGGGTTCTTGGGTGTACATTGCTAAGGAGTCAAATGCCCTCCAGTTTCCAATGGTACCCAACTAACAAATGAGTTTAACCTCCACAAAACTACCTCAACTAAATACTGATGTATTGTCAGCTGTTATCTTTTACTAAGAATCTACTAACATTGATCTAAACGTCAATTAGAAAAGAGAACTGTGATTTACAATGGATTCGATGAGCATTTCAATAAATAAAAAATAACAGGTATTCGCTAGTTTGATGTAATCGGCAGAAAACCCTGGATATATGTTTCATTCTAGTTGGCGCTCGGTATCAAGGTGTAATTCCAATTTTGAAGGAACTGGTGTTTCCTGTGGGATTCACACCCATATCATCAAAATTCACGACCTAAAACTTTACGATTGAGCTATTCGATCCATACATGAATCTAATGCAGGGCTGAGATAATTACAATTTATTGATTATTCAGTATTAAGAAATATCATCTTGTCTAATCTTATGGTGCATACTTAAAACTCCCAACTAGGATATTTTTGAGTGCTTTCACTGAGAAACAAAATAGTGAAGATTATAGTGCAACAAAGCATCATCATTAGAAAACAATTATTAAGGCTTTTATTGGGTACCTCAACATTAACCGGTGGTTTTTTTGCTCGAATCATTTTATCCATTTCTAACCAAGATGCATTATTGATTGCCATACCAACAACACGAAGAAAAGCGAAACGTTTTTCTGAAACTCTAAATTCTCTGCGTAATTGATCTGCTTGACGTTCGGATTGCCCGGAAGCTAACAAACGACTGAGTGTTGTGTTTAACGACTGACCAACCCAAAGCTTCTCATTTATACTACCAGACTGTACTACCTCGGGTAATATACGATTAGAGCCGGGTATGGATTTAATTTCGAAGACAGGAGCAGATATTTCTTGTTTCTCAAGTTTACTTTGAAATTTCAATAGACGAACTTGTGCGTTACATTGCTGACACAGAGAAAGCAGAAATGAAATCCGAATAGTTATAATCTCTATTTAATATTTCAGTAAATTTACTGAGAGTGGAAACATAAATAACTTAATAGGATGGAATTTAAATGGATCCGGAATGGTACTACACAGACGGTGAATGTTGACGCGTAGAAAGCATATTTTAAATTTATAAACAATAATACTGATGACTAGTCTATTATTTCAAAAACAAACTTGAACAGGTCATGTTAATGATATCCAGAAGTTGGTGTTGTATTAAACTACACATTATGCAGTTACACTAAACCAAGCACATCAGTTAGTTCCCAATTATTGACTTAAAAATAAACAGAAGGTATATATTTCTTTTATTATATATCGTAAACTATATCCTAATTATTGTTGTCAAAATGTTTTACCAGAATATTTCCTGTTTTCTTGTCATGAAATAGTTCCACGAGTTATCTGGAATAGTACCATGTATTATCATACATATTTGAAGGTTATTTATTTATCTTTGTATGGTAAATGCCCTATTTATGTTTCAAATCAATATTTGCTAATATTACTATGTATATAAATTGGTGTAAAACTTAAATAACTCCTCTAATATCTCTCTTCAAGCAAATATATGAAGTAGTTAGGGATGGAAATATCATGATATTTCGTAAATGACATCTATTATGCTCAACAAGTATGAACACATGAAAGATGATAACATGGAGACTTCTTGAATGAGAGGTTCATTTAATGATTGTAATTCATGGTGATAAATGTTAGTCAGTCAGTCAGTCAGTAACAACGTAGAACTTTGTACGTATGTACATCAGTTTGAGTTGCCACACCACATTAGCACAGAGATGCAGTGGTCGATTCAAATCCCGTAGTGGTAGAGGTAATAAGAGTATAAGCAGTAATCGGGAAGATTAGGGTTTGGAGATGTTACTTACAGTGAAATAAATTGCGGAAGAGAAAAAAAAGAGACAAGGAGGAATAAGGAGATCAAAATTCGGGAGAACACAAAGAGTGGATGCACCTGCGCCATTGCAAACGATTTTGAGCCATGTCATTCAGAGTCTCTAACCATCGGTTGCTATCATCTCGCGGTCCCCAACCAGGTAGTCTACACCTACCGACATGACTCAGAACACTTGTCAGTGACTTCATGGACTTGTGCCATGTTTCAGTCTGGCCGCCCCTAGCTTTCTTCCATCCTACTCCTATACCACTGAACATCGCACGTCGGGGCAGTCGGTTGTTAGGCATACGTAACACGTGTCCCAGCCATCTCAACTGATGAAGTTTCACTACGTCATCAATGGATTTGCCATCCTTACCTAGTACCCGTTTCCTAACAACTGCATTACTTACTCGATGGTCCCAGGATATACGAGCAATATTTCGAAGACACCTATGATCAAATACTAGTAACCTACGAATATCCTCTACTCTTACCGGCCATGTTTCACTGCCATAAAGTAGGACGGAACGTACTGCTGTGCAGTGAACACGTCCTTTGGTTGATAGACGGATATCTCGCCTACGCCATAAATGATGCAAGTTGGTAAAAGCTAGTCGAGCCTACTGTATCCGTGCTGAGATTTCAACACACACCAGACCACAAGGGCTGATGAGACTTCCAAGATAAGTGAAGCGATCGACACGCCCAATTACTTCACTCCCTATCATTAGTTCGGGTGTCAATGCAACCCAATCCTGAAGCAACATTTTGCATTTCGAGGCAGAGAATCGCATCCCGAACATGCTTGCATTGTTGCTTAGAGTGATAAATGTTAGCCAAAATTGTACTTATTTTTCACTTTACTCTAAATTTTGAGTTTTCATTTGTTCTTTTTCATCTATTTTCTCTATATTTGGCTTTTCACTGTATTATTATCATTATCACTACTGACCTTCTTACCATAGATACAAGTAACTTTTTAAAAACATATGCTTACCTGAGCCATAAAATCATTCTTTGATTGACGATAAATCTCTTCAGCATTTTGTAATAATGTCAGTCGTGAAGCTAAACTCTACAATTAATTAAAATCAATTATTTGATCATAAGATTTAAGAGTATACAAACTGTGCCAATTATATTATAATGCTTATTATTACTACCATTCTTATTTTATCAAAGTAATGCTGGTCGGCGGCCTATGCTTTATTGGGAGTAACAGGCGTAAGTAAGCAATGTTACATGTGACTGACTTATTAAGAATAGTACATGACTTTTGAGGCATACTTTAAATGTGAAAGCTGATAATACTGCTCGAATGGCCAAATCAAAATATGTTAAATGGATTACAAGTTTCCAACCTACTGCTTGGAACATGAATGCTTAAACTATTAAACTATCACTCTAACAAGGGGTATTCAAACACCTTTATTAAAATAAACGTAGAAATTGGTGTATTCAAAGTTTGATAGACTGGAATTCATTAGCTTAGTTGCAATCTCAACCATCGATAATTGAATTGTTCTTTAAAACAGCATTGATCATAAAGTTGTGAAGATGATAGTGAATATCACTAATGGATACAACTTGTGTTAATGAACTGAAATGACAACCTATTGTACGTCAAAATAACCAAGACGGAACTAAAAACTCTTCTTAGATCACTGAATAAAGGCACTCTTTGGAGTCAATCTGTATTGCCTGTGATGAAGGCTAACGGAAGTAGCTTAAGTGGTTCCAACCATACATAGAAGTTTGAGACTTGGAAAAAGGATTACTTAACGGAAACCAAATATTTTAAAATGAGTGAAAAGTAGAAAATAACAGGAGAGAACAACTTACATTTTCTTGATAGGCTGAGAGAACAATTTTTTTAGCTTCTAAAGCATGATCATTTTCATGATCAAAATTTAAAAGAGCAGCTTTTGTTGAATTTTCAGAACCGGATTTAGAATGATCAGCTTGTTCTAATGTCTCTTGATATATGGCCAGAGCTATTGGATGCCGACGAAGTACCATTGCAAGATCTGCCGGCGGTAATTTACTCTGCTCTTGCAATGCTACCACAACTGTCGTAATTAGTTCAGGATTTCCAGTCTCTACTGCTCGAACTAATGCACGATTATAACGAGATAATTTTAAAAGTAATGGTACCTGACGCCAAGCGCGTGGCTCATATTCTAATATTTGCTCCGCAACTGTTTCTCGACCAGCTGAAATAGCTTGACTAGCTACATCAGCGAAGTCCAAATGAGGAATAGAGGTACTGTAATAGTTGGCATGATGATTACTAGACTTAGATTTGCTCTCTGATGAATTGTTGAATAACTTATCCACAATAGCTGCTACCCGTTCTGATATCAATGTAGCTGCTCCTGAAGATGTTATAGAACTATTGCATGCCCAATGAGCAAGTAAACGAGTAAATGTGCATGTCCCATAATTGCTTTGACTTTCTTCTAGAATGCTTATTGGCCATTTATGTTTTTGATGGATTCGAACAAGTTCAATCGCCATTGGGTAATGACGGCGTATCAATAAACGTTCAAACAATTTGTTTGGTCCTAATTCACGAAACTGACGCCACGTTAGTGCAATACCTAACCATGGAACAGCTAAGCTATTCAACAAACGCAAAGTTTGACAAACCTTTGCAGCATGATCCGCGCTATAAGAAACAATAAAATTATGATGCAAATGGAACCGAAAAGTAACTACTTAATTTTTTATGTAAAATTAGCAAATTTAAAGTATTGGAATACATTATTAATATGCTGTTGAACCACATTAGCTAGATACAGTTAAGGCTTAGGAGTAAAATAAAACTATTGGATGAGTCATGGATAACTTAATAGATTAGAATAAGTCATTTACGAACTTACAGCTTTAACAGTGTCGGGAATATATCCTACCGCCAATCAGAAGGAAAATATAATCCACAACAGTTTTCGGTGGGGTACTCTAGGTTGGAACTTGACCACTAAGAATGAGAAGATTGATTTAAGTCATGTATTTGATCATATGTCTTTCTACCACTGACTAAATGATATGGAGCAACCAAGTGCGAAATGTTGCGATGAGGTGTCAAGTATAACTGATGATGGTAAGTCTGTTTATGACGTTGTGAACCTGTACCAACGGAAGTGGCTGTGTTACGTGCCATACAATCGATGTTACACTTCAGCAGAATGACCGAACAACAAGGTGGAAATCAAACTGTACGACTAATGATAATCCATACCTATCAAAAGATTGTTAAATACCATGGGCAAAAGGAAAAGCTTGAGGGGACATAGAAACCGGAATACTCTAAAAATTTGACAATCGCGATTGAGAAATCAAGTAAAATAACACAAAAAATAGAGAATATATACCTTCAAAGACAATCTAATCAAAATCTTGAATCCACCAACAAGAAAAAACATACGCTTATGATATCCGTTTCTCAAAACAACCTCAGTAAAATATCTACGTTAAAAGTTGAAATGCAAAACAGAAAAATCTTCAAAACTAGAATTCCTCTGTGTACTGCAGTCAACCATTGGATATCAACTATAAGGATTTGGGGAAATAAGATGGTGGTACCTCTGGCTAACCGGAAGAAAACGCCAGTCAATTAACCACAGAAGAGTATAAAGCGCTAAAAGATATCAGAAATAGGATGGACATAGTTACGATTGCAGTTGATAAAGGATACACCACAATAGATATTTACAAAGACGACTACGTTAATAAAGTTGAATTGCTTAAGAATAAAAGTATGTATTAGTCATCACCAAGAAATCCAATCAAAATGTCGACAACTTTATATTTAAGATCACAAACAAGCTCATCAAAGCAGGACAAATAAAAAAAATGAAACAAGATTTATTAAAACTATTCTCCAGCGACTTTATAGTAGGCTAAAATCACACAAAACAAATACTCTTCTACGATCGACTGTTGAATTTCATGGGGAATTTCAGTAACACTAAAATATTCAGTGGATTTATGCAATCATTCTATAAAGTCTCCGATATATTTTTTAGGTAAGAATAAGGAGTAGGAGCGAGAAACTAGTGGTATTGAGGATAACTCAATTTCAGTATAGAGTTGTGGAGATTGTTGAGTTTTATTGAAATCATGAACCGGTCAATGTTAAACCACCATTGGAAACCCAGAATTATTGGACGGCTATTTCATCCTAGTATGGGACTCAATTTACCAACCAATCCGGAAAATGATAAACAAAACCAGAATCAACAATAAGATCTAGAGGGAAAAAACTATCGAAATGATTTTATGTAGACACTGTATCAGCACAATTATCAGGAGCAATTAATCATATTCAATTTTTTAAAAAAAAACAAGCTGCTAGTCGTTAAGGAATTTCAAAAGCTTACATCATTTTGAATTAGATAATATTGTCGAGGAAGGCAATGAAAGCCTCACGATTAAACCATAATGCTCAAAAAATCACAATCGCTGATAAGTTATTCTATCATATTTTTTTAAAATGCAGTATTTGTACAACCTACTGAATTATCTTAAACAAAAGAAATTCTTTAACTGAGTAATTATGTGCAGAAAATAAACAAACTCACAGTTCTTTCAATTTAGCCTCAATTGAATAATGACCTGTATTGTTATTGTTAGTAACAGTGGTAGAAGAAATAGTAGCATTAGTAGTATTCATCATAGCTGATAATAATCCTCGACCTAAATGAGCAGATTCCAGTAGTTCTTGTTGACAAATAGGATCAACAGTTGCATGACATGCTGCTTCAATACAATGTGATATTGCATCAATCATTTGATTAGGTTGTTTAATAGGCAATAAATAATCATTAGTACGTCCACAATTGATTTTTAAACTCTTACTTGCAGACAATAACCATGTGGCTGGACACGATGCTCCAATACGTCCAAGTGATTCTAATGGGGATGGTACACGTTGTAATAATTCGTGTGATGTAGGTGATAGAATGCGAATTCCATCAATCTAATGATACAATATGTGTGTACGTTTGTTAATAAAGAAAAATAAGAAAGAAAAAACATGAAAATTGGAATATTTCAACATCAATCGAAATTTAGTTTGAATGATATTGAGGGGACTTTGTTTAAAAAAAAACAGCTTTCATAAAACATTACTATCATCTAGAAGAGCTGATAGAAGTCGGAGAATTGGGGAGCATTTCGTTTTTATCCCAATGTTGGATACTTTACCAATGTGTAATATAGTAACTGATTCCTTCACGATACAATGGACTGATAACTAATTCATTTCACCAAATAAACATTCCATTGATATCTAGTTTTCGATGCAAGATAATTAACCACATTTCCTCGGATAATGAAACATCTAGTAAAAGATGAAACTATTTTTCAGTCACTGGTAATAAAATTTATCATGAATACTATTCTAATATGGGATGAAAAAATAATTTTATTTGAAAATTGCAGAATTATGACTAGAACTAAAGTAGCCATATTTCGAATTGTGGTAAGGAGTAGTTTTCATTCCACTTTGGGCTAGTCAGCTGGATGTACTTTTACTCCAGTGTTTCTGTTTACACAACAACCGTTGCTCTAATCACCCAACAGGTTATTCACTGAGTTCAGATAGCCTGGATGGACCGCCAGGATATGGTGGATATACCAATAAAGACTGATCACAATTTAGGCTCTAATATCAACAATGAGATAACTAACTACTAGTGTTATGAAGTAATGAATAATAGACTGAGAAAGAAAACAAGAAATGTGATATGTATTCTTGAAATACCTTTCATCATTTCACGATATTTAACCTTTATGAATTGGTTTGTATAAAGAGAGACCAAACTTATCAACACTACAAATGAATAATCTTAAGATTACTCATTCAACTGTCGGAAGTATCAATACGTACCGAGCAGATATTAAGATGCTTAATTAATCTATTACTGAAAATCGTATTGTTGTTAATAGTACTAAAAACATCGATGCTAATCAATAAAGATTGAATATAGCCTCGTCAATTGAAACACATATTGCCCACACACACAAATAAGATATATTACTTACCTCTTGTGCTAAGAATATATCATCAGCATAAAATGTTTCATAAATATCTGACTGTGTACTTATAATAGCAATTAAATTATTCCATTGAAGCACAACAGCTGAATTAGTTAACCAAAGCATCGTTTTAGGATGATTGAATTTTTGATTAGCTGAATTATTATTATTCACCAACATAACTGATATACGTTGGGTCAAGTCAATATGTGAATGTAATTCAGTAAATCGTGTATTGGTAATTAACAATTCACCATTGGTTAAATAAATTGCAACAAATTGCATATTCAAAGATATAGACAATAGGTAAATATCAGAACCAGTTGACCTAGTAAGCTTTGACAAATCAATCTGGATAGTAGAGAAAAAATATATACATTTGAGGAAAACCTCATGAATAAAACATTGTTTAGTATGTTGAATTCCCATCATCTGAGGTGGTTGGAACGTGTTGCACATGTTTAGCCATGGCTTACCTCGACGCGTGATATTAGCTGGTGTAGATGTAAGTTGGAAAAAAAGTAGGGGTGGTCAAACTAAGGCTTGGCATCAGTTCACGAGGACACTGGTTACTGATCTGAACCATGCTGGTAGATGCAGACTGCCTGACTGGGCTATGCACAACAACTACGATCAGTTGCTGGGCATGTTGGATGACATCGCTTAGAAACAATGACAATGGTGCAGATGAATTTCCTCTAACTTTCTAGATCTTAAGCTCCATAATTCATTCATCATTACTCCTCCTTTTGTCTTCTTTCGATTAATATCCTTCATTATGCCTTTCACAATTCGTCTTGTTGCCTTCATCTCGCTGCCTCAACGTGATTGAGCGTCTTAGATTACTGTATATTTGTGCCAGGCTCTACGTTTATTATGATTAACTAACTGTTTATTGGGTACACGCAGCAACAGTTGACGTAGAAAACAGTTGAGTGTTTTTTTAAATAGATACTATTTTGTCAGCAACCGACATTAAATTCTAATTATTTAGGCTGCTAAAATCCATCTCTATCGTATAAGGGGGACTTATATTTAAATGATTTAGGAGTTTGATAAAAATAAAACTGATTTTAAATTACTTATCGATAGGAATTACGTTAAGTGATAAAAAAACAAAAGTGGGGAAAATGGTTGGTGAATGAGAAACTAATTTAGTTTTATTAAATAATAGTGGACAGTGTGCATTTGAGAGGCATAGCATTCCAGAATATAAACCGATGAGTATCTTGAAGTCATGCTAGACGAAGTTATTGACGGTAAACTAAAATCACAAAGTTTAATATTCACATCTATAATATAAGGAAAAGGGGCATTTATTGTAAAATAAGTTGACATTCTGATGAGAGTAAACTCCAAAAAGAAACAAGTATCAAGCAGATTCCTGAGTAAAGTAGTAATGATAGTCGCTTTATTGAGTGTGACTGATATTGACTGGTGCAGAAATAACAGATAAGACTAATATTACACACAGGGTTTAGGAAAGTAATGAATGTCAAACGATGGTCGATAAATTTGAAGGAAACATAGGTTCAGACTATGTTTAAACAAATATGTACTCATTGAAATCCTGCATCGTGCATGGGAGCAATAAAATAATTTAATAATTTCTATTTTTGTAATCCTACGCATCACAACTAATAGCTCCCTTTCTGATTCACTGTGAGGTTTGAGACAATTCAAAGCTTGGAAGTACTTACACCTTCAACTGTTCCAAAGTCAGCTCGGTACAAATTCTTTTTGTTTGAAAACATCACCCATGGGCTTCGAAAAGAATCAGGTGTTCCAGTTTCAAGAGGTGTTGTGACAATAGTCCAATGTGACAAAGACTTTACTGGTCCAGGTAATTCTACAAGGCGTCGCATACGTGGAGTTTCGATACTGGTAGTTACATATATGTGGTTTCCACCGGTAAGAACAGCTATTCCTGTATTCTAAAAAATAGATGTCCTGCATTAATATTGAAAGCAGCAAGTTCTATATATATATATATATATATATATATATATATATATATATATATATATATATAAACATGAATTAATTATTATTAATTACGACTATGAAATAATGAGCGAAGGTAAAGTCAAATAGCTAATTTGAAGGCACCATTTGACTTTAATAAAGACAAAGCGTTTGACATGCCAAAAAAGTAACAGGCAAAAATTAGCAATATTTCGCGCTCATAGATGGTTGGGCTCTAATTTTCACACCCTTAGAAGTCCATTATGCACACCGTTCGAAGCATATAAAAAGTTTCAGAAACTGGTTAAAATTAGAGGTACACTAAATTTTTAGCTTTGGTCTAAATTAAATAAGGGAGGATAAAAAAGAGGAACCCTTTGTAGGTGGTCAATGTTAGTTGTAAGAGGCTTTAGAATGTTGATAATTTTCGTTCTCAGTAAACCAGTACTCACAAAGATTCTTCTTTCGAGATCTGATAAGTTAAGAGGAAACAATCCTCCATAACTTGTTTCGGTGGTGTTTCAATGCACAATTCTTTTTTATATGTTCAGAAATTTCTGATCAAACAAAGCAGTTGCATATCTGGTAAAATGGGTTGAGATTTAAAAATTGTCACACCTGCTAACATAGCTATGACATATTTACACAGAAATTAAGCAGTCCTGGTGGAAACAACTTAGTGCATCCAGTCCAATAGTTTATTGTTTTGAAATTACCAAGCTGAATTCCTGAGTGTTGATTGGTTTAGGAAGGATTTATAAAATAAGCTGACCTTTTATAACTTTTCGCCAGAGGTTGATAACATTCGTTGATGCTGTTTTATGGCAAACTGAAGATTATATCAAGCTATAATGCGATGGAAATCCTGTCTATGATTCTCAAAACTCTAGCTAGCAATTCGGTAAATATACCCTATAATATAATACTGAGCTATTTGACGTATGAAATTACTGTAGGGCATTTGAAATTACTAAAAACAGCTCACTAATACAATTGTATTCAGAAACTGTCAACCTATTAACTATACATTGTTTCTGTTAAATACAGTTACGCTGTTTCACAGAAAATTCAGTAATTAAGAAGTTCGTGACACATCTATTAAATCTGGATTCGGAAATTTCAAATGAGAACAATAACTAATTCATATTAATAGTATCAATACGGCAAGACTTACATAATCAATGGTAAAAAGCTTAGCACTAATTATTTCTCTTTCTTCAGCTTCAGGTCCCATACTAAAACGTCGAACAAACTTGCCCTGATGATCTAATATGGTAGTGAATCCTGTTTTTTGGATAACTAATAAATCCTCTGACAAAGTCCAACCAAGCAATATACCAGGTGCATCTTTCCACTGAAAAAGAGGAAGTTTAATTTTTTTCATATTATGGAATGAATTCAATGTCGAAAAGTAAATCTAGATAAGAAGTTGGACAAGTGACAATGGGTCAGTTTCTATTAAATGTGATAACAATGAAAACTTTTTAATTACATCACTGTTTCCAGAAAATCAAACATCAAAAAATATAACAACTACTTTCAATTACTCTAGCTTACAATACGGCCGGGAATTATTTTGGCACGGAAAGACAGACATATTATGACTACCTGCCGATCTACCATCTCAACAAGGGTTTCTCAAATTGTTCTAAACAATGGTAATCAACAAATTCGCTTACATATTGTGAACATGGATTTCATTTAGCTATAATAAATTTACGACTTGTAACAGATATGCATTAGTTCATGACTTTCATAAAGATATACTCAACTCTATTAGGGGCAGATTCCAAACTCCACAAAAATAGTTCAGTGTTCTATCGATAATTACCAAGTGTCTTTTTGAACTGATGAAGACAGAGGAAATAAAGCTCCAATTTACAAAGCCGAATGGGGTTATCGTATTTAATCAGAATGCATAAGTCAACATACTAAGTGGTCCCGTGAAGTGAAACTTAAAACACTTTATTTAAGGGGCTTTGCAATCTAGCACATCAAACAGACTACTTTTACCTTTGAAATCTACACATTAACCAATGTCTCGATTTAGTTAGTAATTTCAAACTAATATCTAAAAACTATATGAAAATAATATATTGGATATAGCTTTTTTTAAAACAAAAATCCAATATTATAGCTTTTTGAGCAAGCCATTTTAGCGAACAATTTGTACGTAGTTTACTTCTTTTAGCCTCTTCCGCCAGTCAAAGTTGGTAACTGTGCACAGGCTAGTTTGAACCACGCTAGGAAATTAATATAAAACTTGTCCGGATAGTTTTTCCTCATAAGTACACTTGATGTGCATATTTATTTCAAAAATGGAAAATTTACCTCGATATATGTCTCTTCTGTATGTTTAAGAATATGGACACAAGTACGTCAAACAATAAACGATCAGTCTACATAAGGGCTTCACTATAAGGAGTAATATTCAAGTAATCCCTTCAATGATAGTTATGTTCCATCTTGTAATTGATATTTAATGGCTTCTACAAACAGGTGAACTTCAGAGCACTTCACGACACAACTATTGTTGTAATTTGTTTGGTTTCAAATCAAAAAACACTGTTCAACGCTCTCATCTGCAGTTAAAAACACGGCCATCTCTACGGTCAGATAAAAAATATGAACCCATTTCTAGCCTACACCTGTTACCCCACGCGTGAGCATAGGCCGCTGACCAGAATTCTCCAAACAACTCTGTCCTGGGCTCTTTTTTTCAATGTTTTCAGCTGGTACTAGTTATTTTGAATCCATACCTAGGTCTTAGTGTAAAAATTTAGGATTGTAACATTATCTTCTTCTGGATTTGCTACAGTGTGAATAACTTTCTTCTAACCATAAGATCTCAAACAGAAAGTATTGCGGGACATTGAGTATTAATTGTCATGTTAATTAAAAAATAAATTTACACATTCAATTCCGAACTAACAAATAAAGTTGAAATCAACTCACAACACTTTGGGAAACGAGTTTGCCTGATGATGTATATATTTGAAGTATAGGTTTTGCTCCCGCTTGGCCATCCAAATACATTGCTAAGTGAACTTAAACTACTGGTAAAAATATCCCTACCGATATAACCAGAATACTGACAAATCGATGTCTTGAATTGTGATATTGAAAATCCCATACCCCACGGCATATCGTAAAGATGAAGCTTTCTACAATACAATAAAAATCGAATCAACAAGTACCTGAAATAAATGTCTCCAACAGCAAACCACTCTTCACCCAAGACCGTCATTATGAAGTTTCAGAAATGTGCTGTTCACGATTTAAATTAATATAAGGTTTAACGACTGACGACAATGATTGATAAGGAAACACAGACCCTGTAATAAAAAGCAAATCATGTTTGATAAACAAAGTCAACACAGTTGATGATGGTAGGAAACGCGATAGAAGCGAAATATAATGAATTTAACATATGAATATGTAAAAAAAAAAAGATAATTAAATGCGTGATTCCTAGTACTAACTTGTGTAACAGTCTACGTATGCATGAATTAATGTATCACCATCAGTCTTTGAGCAGCAGATATGTTTGGATTACTTGACTCTCAAATAATAAAACCGCAGGTAAGAACCTTGGTTTATCTTATTTTTTCGGGAAGTCAGGTAATATCAATAGCATTTAAATAAACAGTATAATTTAGAGCCTATTTTATAAATCTGGTTGATAAGTAACTTACGTTATCATCAGAGTTAAATGGTGGCTGGCAACGGAATTCAGGACGAGCGATGCATCCTATTTGGGACTCGTTAGCTGGTTATACATGCATTACAGAGTTGATGTTATTTCTAGCACTTGAACCTAGTGCCGCCTGTTATTGCGTTATCCGCTAAGCTACTAAGTCCGGTTAGTCACTGGGACGAATTTCAATCCATTTGTATTAGTTGTTTGGATCCTACGACTGATGATAAGGACTGCAACCAAACAATCTCCTTTGGCAAGTGTGCCTCATTCGCAAACTACCCACTGTTGCCATACAGTCACAAGCAATATAAGCAGACTTGGACAGTGGCTAACCGTGGAACACAAAACGCGCGCTTCATCCTATTTGGGACTGGTCTCCAAATACCTTTAGTAAAAACAGGGTTACTCATCTATATCAGCCTAGAGACCAAGATAACTAGCATTACTAGCTAATATCACCCGAACTTTTAAGTTGTCTGCAAACAATTGTTTGCCTTTCTTAAGAAAGGCAACACCAAATATCTCCCGTTAGTCAGGCATAAGAGCCTTATGTTTATGACACCAATGTCGCAAAGAAAGTAATTTCACATCAACAAAGTAGAAACACCGAGAAATTCATCTTGGTGTCTAAATAATCTATTGCGAAGTGATTAAATAGCCTATTAACCGCGGCAAGACTTTAATTTATAGCAGGCCCCAAATTTTAGGGCGAAATTCAGTCATCTATTTGGTTAAATAGAGCTTTTGGATTATAGCTGAGGTCAGTTCATTATGAAAACCCTAAATCTAATTCATAAACCTAATCATCAATTGTAAATCATAATTTCAACTCTGCACACTGGTTTATAACCCTCATTTAGTCATAGTTATCAAGTGGACACTAACAAGGTCACTCGAGCGTTGCTAAAAGGTCGTCCATAAATTATAGTCACACCGCCCATTGTTACTCACTAAATATTCGTTAAGTCAACCCACTATATTGCCTAAGATTATGGCTACTTTATATTCTGTATACAAATATGTAAACTCAAGTGACATTTTACAATTTCGAACAGCTTTATCTCCTTGCATGTACACGACGTATGAAACTGACTGCTTCACTACATTAATTTCATCCAGGTAACGCGGCAGTCGTAAAGTTCAGTCAGATATATCCGATATCCAATATTGTCTCAACGAACAAGAACAAGTTGATAGATTAAATTTTCGTCTATTTTCGCTCTAAGAAAAATTTTTATATCTTCAACAAAGTAAAATGAAAATATTTAAATTTCTCTGAGCTAGTAGTTATACGTATTAAATGTGTGCATTGCAATTTTTCTAATATCTTCTCCATGAATTTGTATAGACCAATTAATATACTGTTGTTTCAATACGGCTCCATGTACTTGACAGTGTCGGTGGGTGATAGTCTAGCCACCCAACTGTACCAATCCTAGTCAGCTTGGTTGTTTGTTGAACTGTACGTTTTGTCGCTCGGTTGACTGAATTTGTCTCAAGGTTTTAGGATTTGTGGTTCACCAACGTGGTTGACCTGCACCAAATTACTGGAAGCCTACTCCAGTTGAACGGGAATGGTGTGACCAACCAACTAACGTCGAAGTCACACCTTGTGTCTAGTACCTAACGTGAATTACTCTTTCGTCGTAAGCAAGCCTGATGGTTGCTTTGATGACCATGCAACACAAAACGACGTTATAACACAAGTTTGTTAGTAAGAATGGAACGAGGAACAGATTTCGATCATTGCTGCATATTCCAGTCCATGGCGAACAAATTACCTATGTGCGTTAGTTGTTCGTGACCTCAACGAAGATCAATGAACTGCTTGACACTTTTGACTTCACTGCAGGATGGTTTAATTAAAGCTCAGTAGCACTTCTTTGACCGTACATGTCTCTTAACAGCAGCAGCTATCACATTATCAGGCAGTATGTTTGGTGGGTCTCAGTGTGAGAAAAAATAATGCGATAAATCGAGCGTTATGGGAAGATTGTTTTGTAGGGATAGTTAACATAGAATTGTTTTCCAATTAGTTTGCAACTAACTACGCAAATAGCACTTTAAGAATACTTCGAAATTCAAAACCGAGTAAAGAAGGAGAGTTCGGTGTGGGATCAGCCACTCCATCCCGTAGAAAAAAACTTCCTGAAAGGCGCTTACCAGAAAAAACAATTTAAACCATTTGAATTCTGTCCTCGGAGTTCAATGATCTTTTTTTAGAAGAATTATAACGCCTCATGATGGAAGCTGAGATTCTTCGGAAGTCACGAGGTCGGTACCCCTTCTAATAATCATAGCAACAATTAATATAGGTACATCGAACGTCCGGATAATGTGGGAAACCTGAAGGACCAATCAAATAGTTATGGAAATACCAGTTGGCCGTTCTCGGAATTAGCGAAACCCAGAGGACCCAAGCTGGACAGCAAACGTTAGCCGCGAAGGGAGAATGCTCTACACACTTAGTGAGTTGCTCTGATGCTGTTCAAAGAAGCACGAAATGCGCTTATAGGATGGGAAGCTCATTGACCCAGGATCATTGAAGCATCCTTCACAACAAATGAGGGGATTACAATGAATGCTATCCAACGTTATACACCCACAAGTGATAGCAATGAAGATGATAACGATCAGTTCTACAAGATGCTGCAATCAATCACAGTGAAGTGCCCAAGAAAGGATCTCTCCATTCGGATGGGAGAGCTAAACGTCAAAGTTGAAATCGACAACACCGGATATGGACTGGGAGAGATACGCAAACCACTGTGCATTCAATAAATTGATTTTAGGCGGCACAATATTCCGTCACATATGCGTACACAAAGCTTCATGGATCTCACCGGATCACACCACAGAGAACCAGGTAGATCTGTAGAATTGTAGTCTACTTCGTTATTAGTACTGACCCAATGATGGACCTAGCCTTAAAATTGTAGATTTTTCCATGATTTCACTGTCTAATATATGATATATTTCGTGGAATTCATATCATTATTTACACTGGCTCGTCCTATAGTAACAACTGTCTACATGTGATGGATGAAACATTTAGGCTGGAGATAGAACAACATATTTATTATGAATAAAAGTCAGACACAAAAGTCACTGGAAACATACTCCACGTTCGATTATGGAAGACTCAGGAGGAAGAACAAGTGCGAAAGGACCGGAAGTAAGGATTTCTCATCAATATATAAAGAATGAGCAGAGCAAATGTGAGAACTACAGAGTCGCCACACTACTAACGGTACCAGAAAAAGCTTTGAACAGTGTTTCTTAACTGTATGAAAGATCCAGTACACGCCCAACTTCGAGGTCAACAGGCTGGAGTAGTCAGTTGAGGAGTTAGCGAGTGGGACACTATGTATCGGTTTCAGATATTGAACATCGCCTGTGACGACAGTTTCGGGAGATAATGACTTCGTCAAACAAAAATGTAGAATGTCAGTTTGGGCAGATCAGCTTAAACCTACTTTGCAGCAGCAAAAAGATTCTCAGGCATGACGACTAAAAACGATCGAAACGACGGCACAAATGTTGTCATATCAAGAAACTGCAGTACAGGTGTTCAAACTAAGGTACTGGACTACCGAATCACTGACAAACTCTGTGAGAGAGTTTCACTTTGATTCTGATGCTGCTGTCACATCTGAATCTTGGTTCAAGAGGTAACAAACCATTTTCAAAGTTGAGTTTTCGCGTTAATATTCACAATCTTAACCACTCCGTGACTTTGAGTTTAGTCGAATACGATCTTACTGACAATAGTCCGGCAACATGCAACAGAAACATTAGGTAACAAAGGGTAGGTCTTTTACCATGGTCACATAATAAAAGCTCGGACGAGGAAGATTGAAGAACGTAAATTGCACTTGTAAGAGATATGAATAAAGATAAAACTACACGACAGAGAGAGGAAAAAATAAACGACATAACTGTCTAACAAAATACTGCGAGAGAGCTTTCAGCGTGTTTTTCCGTTAGATTGTAGTGGCGACGACACCTAATCATACAATCCTCAAGGTTGAACTGGAGACACTTGGGAAAATAGACGTTCAATATTTAACTCGGTGGAAAACGCAATGATGGAGAAGGCGGGAACAATGAATTGAATTATTTCGAGTTGATCGGATGGCATGACTCGGCCTTGCGGGTGTGGTCCTTGTTAAATGTTACCTTATATTACTCACTCAATTGCTTACGTCTGTTACTCCCAATGGATTATAGGCCGCAGACCAGCATTCTCCAAACCACTCTGTCTTGGACCTCCCTTTCCAGTTCTATTCGATTTTTTGTTTATTTTTCTCAGTTCTGTCTCCATTTCACGACGAAATGTGTCTTTGAACTTTCTCTCCACCTCCTTCGACCTTGAGAATTCAATCTGAGGGCTTGCCTTGCGACACAGTTGGGTGCTTTCTTCTGTATGTGTCTTATCCACTTCCAGCGCTTCTTCCTTCGCTGGGATCTGGTTTGTTCTCTCCCATAGTGGGTTCATGATAATAGTGTCCGGCCAATGGATCTGAAGTATTTTGCGTAGACAACTGTTAATAAACACCTGTATCTTCTGAGTGCTGTGCCTGGTCCTACGTTGTAGCTGACTGACTGACTGACCTGTATCTTCTGGATGATGACTTTCGTAGTTCTCCAGGTTTCTGCCCCATACAGTAGAACTGTCTTGACATTTGTATTGAAAATCCTGACCTTGGTGTTGGTTGACAGTTGCTTTGAGTTCCAGATGTTCCTCAGTTGTAAATATGCTGCTCTTGCTTTGCCGATCCGCGCCTGCACATCTGCATCAGATCCACCCTGTACATTAATGATGCTGCCCAAATATGTAAAGGTTTGCACATCTTCCAAATCTTCTCCGTCAATTGTGATTGGATTGGTGCATTCTGTGTTGTATCGGAGAATCCTGCTTTTCCCTTTGTGTATATTGAGACCTACTGCTGCTGAGGCTGCTGCTACACTGGTCGTTTTCTCCTGCATCTGTTGTTGCGTTTGGGATAGAAGGGCCAGATCGTCTGCAAAGTCTAGATCATCCAACTGCATCTTAGATGTCCATTGTATCCCGTGCTTCCCTTCAGACGTTGGTGTCTTCATGATCCAGTCGATCACCAGGAGAAAGAGAAAGGGTGAGAGTAAGAAACCTTGCCTAACACCAGTCTTCACTTTGAACGACTTTGTCAACTGTCCTCCATGCACGATTTTGCAGTGTAATCCATCATAAGAATTCAATATGATAGTGACTGTCTTCTCAGGCATTCCGTAGTGTCGGATAACCCTCCATAGTGTTGTCCTGTCCAAGCTGTCAAACGCCTTTTCGTAGTCAATGAAGTTGATGTAGAGTGATGGATTCCATTCAATTGATTGTTACACAATGATCCGTAGAGTTGCGATTTGGTCTGTAGACGATCTATCCTTACGGAATCCTTCCTGTCGGTCACGAAGTTGGGCGTCTACGCAGTCCTTCATTCTGTTTAACAATACCCCGTTGAAGACTTTTCCTGGTATTGAGAGAAGAGTGATGTCCTTCAGCTCTCACATTTGCTGAGATCGCCATTCTTTAGTATCTTGATCAGATGCCCTTCGTTCCAGTCTGTTGGTACTTGCACTTCGACCCAAATATTGCTGTAGAGAATGTGGAGTATCCTTTCAGTTACTGCTATACCTGCTTTTAGTGCCTCTGCTGGAATGTTGTCTGGTCCTGTTGTTTTGCCACTCTTGGTTTGTTTAATGGCCATGTTGATTACTTTTCCTTTCATGGATTTCACTGTTCGTTCTGGTTTACTATAATTTCTAGCTAGTTTCTTTGTTATGTCATACGGTTGTCTCATGTTTCCTTCTCTTGCAGCCTTTTCCGCCGTCATTGCTAGGTCTTACACATATTTACGTTTGTTGGGTCTGATGCTCCTCTTCACTTGTTTGTTTACTTCTGTGTATTCAGCTAGTGCCTTGGCTTTTTCTGCTCTTGTTCTACTGGTATTGATTGCTGCCTTCTTGTCCCTTCTTTCTTGAATCGTATCCAGTGTGTCAACAGTGATCCATTCCTTGTGATGTTGCTTCTTGTGGCCCAGGATCTCATGACATGTTGAAGTGACTGCCTCTTTTATTCCCTTCCAGTTGCTCTCCATAGTAGTTCCCTC